ACAAGTGCTCAAAATGACAAGTGCAGGCTTCCAAAAGACCCAAACGAGGATCTATTGAAGACCTTTTTTTTCCTGAATGATAAAACAGCTTACTTTTTTTTTTTTTTTGAGACAAGAGTCTCGCTCTGTAGCCCCAAGTAGAGTGCAGTGGCATCATGATAGCTCACTGCAGCCTCAAACTCCTGGGATCAAGTGATCCTCCTGCCTCAGCCTCCCAAGTAGCTGGGACTATAGGCGCACACCAACACACCCGGCTAATTTTTCTATTTTTTGTAGAGACTAAGTTGCTCAGGCTGGTGTCCAACTCCTGGCCTCAAGGGATCCCCCTGCCTTAGCCTCCCAAGTAGCTAGGACTACAGGTGTGTGCCACAACGCCTTGCTAATTTTTCTATTTTTGGTAGAGATGGGGTCTTGCTCTTGCTCAGGCTGGCCTCAATCTCCTGAGCTCAAGCGATCCTCCTGCTTTGGCCTCTCAGAGTGCTAGGATTACAGGTGTGAGCTACCATACCTGGCAATCATTTTTACAAATGATTTTTTAGACCTCTTGGTCCCTAGAAAGAACTCTGTACAAACTCTTCTTAGCCCTAGGCCATAAACTGCCTAAGTATTTTTCTCTAGCTCTTGATAAAACTCGACCACTTGTTAACTGCACTCCATTAAAAACATTGATATCCATAAAAGTTGTTTTTTAAAAAATCATTTAAAATCATTAAAATTATGATATAATGGTTTACTCTAAAAATAAATTTTCTGCTATAGTATCTTTCCCCTTAATCACAGATTAGTCGAAAATCCTAGTTAATTGGAATAAAGATTTCTAGAACTAGCTTCATTAATAAATGATGGTGATAATCATAATAACAATAAAAAAAGAATAAAAGCCAACAGTCATTAAGCACTTTCTGTGTGCTAAGCCCTTTCATATCATCTCACTTAATCCTCACACCAACTCTGTTCTTATCTCTGTTTTATAGTTAAGGACATTTATGAGCCATATGAACCCTGCTCCTTATCTAGAAACTGGCATTCTTAAAAAAAAAAAAAATAGTTCAGGTGAGGCAATTAGAAAAGGGGGACATCATTCTAAATCACTGAGAGCTTTTCCCAATTAGCTTGAAAAAATTCTTCGGATAAATCTATCAAGCTGAAGAGAAAATTATTTTAAAAGGTTAGCAGAGAAGAATGGCCATCCCTGGAATTTTCTATCAGAAACATAGCTCACATCTTAGATGAGGCTAATAAGGTTTCTTAGACCCCCTCCTCTTAGGAAATCTGAATGCTTAATTTGTGCAAGCTGACTGAGGTCAAATCACTCCCCATTAGGGGGAACACACTACCCTGGGGTTTGGACTCAGACCCTCACTTTTTTCAGAGCATGGACAGCCACATACCATTCACAAATTATTTGTAGTAGAATATGCTTGAATATGAGATGCAGTGATTTGTGCCACCAAAAACTTGAGAAAATAAATCTAGCTATTTTTCAATATTTTTGAAATAGTTTAAGATATTTTAAATGTGAGGGATTGATTTTTAAGTTTTTTAGAAACAGCTTGCCTGGTATAACCATATCTCAAAGGTGGTACATTCAATAGAGAAGCTTAGGTTCAGAGGTCTCAAAGGGACCTTGGAGGACATTTAGTCCCACCCACTTAGAGACGAGATAATAGACCCAGAGAAGGGTAATGACATTCCCAAGGACACACATCAGAACTTGGGAAGTCAACTCAAAGCTCCCTCTCCTGCTCTTTCACTATCCAAGCTGCCCTGGATATAACCCCATGTGCACATATCCAAGCATGAAATTAGCATTACCCTCTGAACCCAGGGGATGATCTGGTAAGGTTCAAAAGTATTTGCCAACTTCCTCTTGACCGTGATTTTAGCTACTTTTAGATGAAATAATAACAATGATGTAAAGACTTTATTATGGAGATTTCAAAGCATTCAGTTAACATTTCATACCTAATATAGGTGGAGAATTGAAGCTGAGAAAGATTAAAGGGGTAAGGAATGGGGAAGGAACTATATTACCATAAACAGGTTATTCAAAAAGTCTTCAAGTCCTTGCTGTGTCTTCCCAAGCTGTGGCCAGATAGACGCAGAGGCAAAATGATTCTTATTTCACATTTCCAGCCCAACTTCCCTTCCCGAGCTCAGTCTATAAAACATATTATATCACACCAATGTTCATAGCAGCATTATTCACAACAACAACCAAAAGGAGGAAACAACCCAAATGTCCATCAACAGATAAGTGGATAAGAAAAATGTCATATATACACACACAATGGAATATTATTCAGCCTTGAAGAGGAATGAAGTACTGAGACATGCTACAACATGAACGAATCATGGAAATACTACTCTAAGTGAAAGAAGCCAGACACAAAAGGACACATGTTGTATAATTCTGCTTGCATTAAGTGTGAAGTACAGGCAACTTCATGGAGAGAACAGTGGAATAGAGGTCATCAGGGCTGAGAAAAGTGGGGGATGGGGAGCTACTGTGAAACAGGCATGTGGGTTCTGGTGGGGATGATGGAAAAGCTGGGAAATGGGTTGTCGTGATGGCTGTAAAAGACTGTAAATATACTGAATGCTGCTGAATTGCACACTCAACGTGGTTTAAATGGTAAATTTAATGTTATTCTACTACAAAAAATTATCATATCAAATTCTAAATCAGATCCCTTTATTTCTCGTTCGGAATTCCTAAACTTTATTCTGTTCATTTCTTGCCATTAAAGCCCAGATTTCTTCTCGAGACCTGCTTACTGTCAACAGCATCACGGTCAATCTGTGTATGCTCATACACATAAACACACACAGTCACACATAGGCCACTTTGTATCTTGCAGTGACCCATTCACAAACATGTATCTACCCCAAGACCTTGTTGATAGCTCCAACAGGAAGGCCCATGGCCAGACTAATGCAACGAGCATTACTGGAGACCAAGGCAACAAAACACCCTGACAAACACCCTGTCTCAGCTCAATGCTTAAATTCCTCACCATGGGAGAATATATATTTAGTATATGTGGATTTTCTCTATAAAGAAAACAGTATGCATATTCCAGAAAGACCACCAGGAACTGCTCACCCAAGTGTGCTCCACCAGACCTGTGAACAAAAAGATTTCAGCCCATACATGGCTTATTTGGTGAAGTCAGCAGTCGCAAGTTACACTGAACAGTGGGTGTCCTTAATGCAAATGCATATAATTAGGAGCTAAATCTTTGTACCTTTGCAGGACAAAGGACATAATAAGCAGGATGTACCACTTGTGACTTCTGAGAAAAGGAGAGCGTTTCATTTTTCCTTAAAAGAATCCATTTCTCATGAGGCAAAGAGAATCTGAGAACAAGAGTCTTTTGAAATAGAAGCAGGGAGTTGGGGGGAAAGGATTTGAGTTTCGTGTGTCATAGTCATAATCCATCACTCAGACCTGAGAGGTGCCCATTCTGTGCCATACCATGTCCTTTACTCAACTTTAATTTAAAAATTTTCACAACTTCATTATCTTTGGAGGAAATGTTGCCGGTAGCCTGATAACTGAGTCCTATAAGCATTTAAAGATCTCAAGAGTTTGTCTGTGAAGAAAAATAATCTCTAAGGATCCTTCCCATTGCCAACACACATGGACATTTAGCATAAATAAGCTGCCACTTGTAAGACGTCCACTTGACATCACTCCCTCGTGTATCCTGAAGACACATGTCAAGATCACACTAAGATATTTAGAGGCAAACATCTTCAGAATAATGTTTTGTTCCCAAAGTGCTTAATTAGCAGAAACACTATGCTGGAGAACTGTCCTTGAATATGCATGCATTTTAACCTCCATGTTAGTTTTTCTGAAGCACACATTTTCCTCTCACTGGATGGTCAGGAAATGATTGGACACAGAAAACCGACTGTCTTAAGTATTGATCCACAAAATGAGTTCCATCTTTCCAAACAGGTTTCACTGCCTTGCAGGGTGACATCCCCTTTTATGAAGGGGACCATTCCTGGGAGTCCAATGGCCCTTTCCCCATTCATTTTGGGTGACCAATGCTCCTGAGGCCTACTTATGTCTGAACTCTTTCAACACTTCCCACCAACCTCTTCTGGCCCCTTGTGCCTTCCTCCCACTCCCAACTTCAGCCAGTTACATTTATAAGACATCAGTTAGTGAATCACAATTCAAATGAACGCAGCCATTTGTTCAGCAGAAAGTGGCCTTTGGAATTGCTCCATTTGAAGCCCACTGGCCAGAGTTACATATGGCAGGCTTGCAAACATAAACAGGATATGATTTATTTATGATGACCATGTGTGTTCGATGCCCAGTTCCAGTAGGCTGTGGCTTCACCACATGTCTTGGTCTGGGATGACCTGTGTACTCACTGTGTCCCATTTCATGGACTGTATTTCCACGCTGGGAAAACGGAGATGGGTGACTGGCTGGGGGCTCTGCACATACAGGTGCCACTAACCCTGCTTACCACATAACAATCTGTGACCAAATGCAAAGTGGGCCAAATGGAACTTGCTGGCAAGGTTTGCCATGTACAATGGTTTTCAGCGGAGAGTGGAGAAGTAGCTGCTGGAATGACTGACCATGTGGGGTTCATTAAACTGTTGTGCATTTGCCCACCAGGAAGGCCAGGATGCTTGTGAAGGGAGCCCCACTCCTCATTTCAGAGATTTCAACCCCCCACCATTTGGCAATGGTGTTCCAAAGGAGAATGGCACATAAGCATCAGAAGGTTCAAACGTGGACTCCAGCTGAAGTGCAGTAAACTTCTGCCTTCAACAGTCTCCCCCCGTCACCCCCCAGTTGTATTTATACTTTGAAAGAAGTTAACATGAAGCAGTAGTCACCTGGGCGTGCTCAATTTTTGACAAGCCTTAGTCACTCTGTACCCAGCAGAACAATTCACATTATATTCGAAATCCTGTGAAGATTCTGCCACACATGCTAACACTAAAATGCCAGTAGCTCCACTTACCTTCTTTATTAAGCCTCATAACCTCCCTGCTTTTTCCACCCTCTTTTCCAGCCTCTTCTAAATCTACATCTGCAGATGAAAAAGAAAAGGAAAAAAGAAAATAAGGAAAAAAGGGGGGAAAAAGCCAAAGTCAAAGGGGGAGGGAGAGTGTTTATTTGCAAACAGATCGATACAAATACTGTATATGAAAATCTTTCAAAAATTGACAATGCAACATTTTCTCCCAAGTCCGGGTTTCCATCTACCTGGCCCAGATAGGTACCAAAAAAACTATGCAAGCAGCAACAGAGTAGCCTTTTAACCAGATAACACCGTGGGGCTGCGAAAGCCCACCCCGCGGGCTGCCACGGGGAGCCGGCACAGACAGACAGACAGACAGCCCTGGCAGCCGGGCCTCTCTGTGTGCATTGATGATCTGTCTCTGTGTGTATTTATTTAGAGAGAGAGGGAGAAGCATGGAGGACACCGGGGGCCACTCTCTCTCTCACACACACACTTTTTCCCAGTGGCTCTAGGTGAATGGAAAGGTTACAGGATAATAAAAGGAGGAGGAGGCGGTGGGGTTCTTACTGTCGGAGCAGTGTAATTTGGCGGCGTCGATCCAGGAGGACCAGGGTTTGCCCAGAAACGCCTCCGGACTGGGCACTTTGCGATCCAGTGTCGCCATTGCTCTTCCTTCTTGTTGCTTTTTCCCTGTTCCTTCGGCAGCAGCAGCCGAGAGACACGGGATTCGAGAACGCTCCGACGTCATCTTCGGAACGTTCCGACATTGAGTGTTCTGAAAGGGGGAGGGCGGGAGGCGGGATGGGAGGAGGGCGGCGGAGGAGGAGGGGAGCGAGGAGGCGGCGCGGGGAGGAGGGGCGCGCGGCTCCGCACGGCTCGCGGCGCGGGCGGCCGCCGGGGGCAGCAGAGAGGCGCCCCGGAGCTCGCAGCCCGGCCGCCCGCCCGCCGGGGAGGGCGCGGAGAGCGCAGCGTGCTGGGAGCCCTGGCCGCCGAGATGCTGCGGCTCCGCGCGAGCCGGGGTCGGAGGGGCCGCGCCGGGCCGGACGGGGGACGCGGGAGACGCGCGACCCCGGGCCGCAGGAAGGGGGTCTTTCCCCCAGAGTTGCCGCCAGAGGACCGAAAGTTTTTGCAAGCAGCCCTTCCAGCGCGTCCCCCCTCTCGCCGGGTCCCTGTTGCCCACGGTGAGGCGCCCCTGCGGAGAGCCGGGCGGCTCGGTGGGGACAAGTCGAGAAGGTTTGCGCCCCCTGCCCCCACCCCAAGCCAGGGCGGAGGAGACTCTGGTGACCTCGCCTCCCAGCCCTCACTCTCTGCACCCTCTTTTCTGTTTCTTGGGGGACCTCGGACCGTGGAGATTCTGTGGATGCCGCTGGGAGCTGACACCGGTGGGTAAATGTGGATGTGCAAAGCAGGTGAGTTTAGGGCGAGAGGAGCCACCTTCCCATTTCAGGCTGGGGGGCGTGCAAAACTCAAAACTCAGCGCCCCAGTGCCCCCACATTCCCTGCGCGATGCGTGTCTCCGGCTCCGGAGAAGCACTGCGTAGGCTCCTTTGCAGGGTCGCCGGGCCGGAGAGCGAGTTCGCGGCTCTGGGAAGATGGTGCTGGCGGGCCCAGCCCCTCAGCAGTTTCCGTTGCTCCCTGCATTAGCTCAGGCCACCTACGGCCCGAAATGTGATTCCTGGGAGGATTCGCTTCTGGCTTAACTGCTCCAGCCAGCTCGAAAGAGAGTGCTCGATTTCCTCTGGATTTGGGACGTTTAGTGCTTTAGTTGAAATCCCCTCCCCTCGCCCCAGGGATAGGCAACAAGACCTTAAAAGGTCTTCTGTTATATCTTTTTTAAAAATCCTTTTGTTTACGAGGAATTACTAAATTATATGGACACCCCCCCACACAGAATCGATATATTTTTCCTCTTGCCCCAGCGCCCGTCTAGTTCCCGCCACTGCTGTTCCCCAGGCGCGTGTTTGCCCCACAGCTGCAGCGCACTGATGTGAAGTTGCTCTGTGCCGACCGAGTTCTGCCCTGGCTGTGCCATCGAATGCCCCTGCACTTGGCAGCCTGTGCCAGCGTCAGAGTGGGCGATGAAGGGGGAACTCCAGATTTGCCTTCAGTTGTGATGTTTGTGTGAATGGGCTTGTTTATGTCAGACCCAGATAAATCTCGTTTGCCTCTGCTCTATTTGGAAGGGTTCCCGCATAGCTCACTTGCTGCTGGTGGAGAATTCCCATTTTGAGGATTGGTAGCGTTAACAAATGTTTATTACTTATTGACCTCTTATGATATGCTAGACAGTGCGCTTTGCATTTCCATCCATCTATCCATCTTAAGGCCACCAACATTGCCTGTCACGGAGCAGCTGCTCTGCCGAGAGGTAGTCAGAGAAGACCCATCCCGGCCCTCATGGAGATGTGGTCTGGTGGCCTCTGGAAGAAGGAAGGTGTGAAACATCCACTCCTTGGGAAAACAGGACACGTGCACAGAAACTGGCCTGCACAGTGAGTGGTGTGGTCTCTCAGGGCTGTGCCTGTTCAGAGCTGGAACTGAAATCTATTAATAGTGATCAGAAAATGTGTGACAGAGAAGATGGGATCCGCTGCATCTTGGCGATTGGCAAGGATTTATAATGGTAAGGTGAAGACTGGTCTTTGGGTGTGGGGAGTGATGATGCTAGCAGAGTCTTCACGTGGAGCATAAACACTGTGTTTGGAAGTTGAGGACAGTTTACCTGGGATGGTGAGTTGTTACTGGGGGCTGGGGGTGATGAGTTTGGAAAGCCAGGCCTAGGTCAAATTATGGACAGCACTGAATGGCAGCCTAAATAGTCTGGATTTTGTTTGACGTTGGGGAGCCACTGAAGGGCATTCTGCATCATAAAGATAAGTTGGAAGTGTGACTTAGAAAGATTGGAGCATGGAGACTGGTTAGGAAAGTAGTGCTGCAATATTTCCGGTGTGAAGAGATGAGAGCTTGAGCTTTGGTGGTGCCATCAGTGCAGGTGGAGAAGAGGAGACATGAGTGAGAGACCGTAGGAAGAAAGCACCCCATCAGAGGGTGTATTGTTTGGCAGGATTCTGGGAGAGAGGGGGCACGAGGAGGGGAGAGCGCTCAGAGGCATAAGTAATTGGATGCTGGAATGTTTTCCCTTCCTCTTCTGCTCTCCTATTTTTCCTCTATTTCTGATCCTGTTTTGGTGTTTATTCCTTTATTGTCGTGCATGCAAGGAAGACGTGGGCAGCTTCCAGCATGGTCCACAGTGATCCCCACCTCCTGGTATTTGTGCTCCTGTGTGATCCCCTCCCCTTTAGTGTGGGCTAGACCTAGTCACTTGCTTATAACAAATAGAATATAGCAAAATCAATGGGATGTCACTTCTGAGGTTAGCTTACAAAAAGACTGTGATTTCTGTCTCGCTCACTCTCTCTTGCTCTCCCTGGCTTGCTCTAAGGGAAGCCCACTGCCATGTGAGCTACCCTGTGGAGACTCCCATGTGGCAGGGAACTAAGGGAAGCCTCTGGCCCACAGTTGGTGAGGAACTGAGGTCCTCAGGCCAACAGCTGGTGGGGAGCTGAATCCTGCCTGTAGCCGCCTGAGTGAGCCCACGTTCTGGGAGTCAGCGACTTGAGCTTCCAGAATGCTGTCTCCTCTCCTGGGAGCCACTATAAACCCACTGGAAAAAAAAAAATCAAAGATAGCTGGGTGTCGTGTGGCCTGTAGTCCCAGCTACTAGGAAGGCTGAAGTGGGGAGTTCCCTTAAACCTGGGAGTTCAAGGCCAACCTGGACATCATAGCGAAACCGCCTCTCTAAAAAAAAAAAAAGTGATTATTGCCAGAACAGAAGTCAGGGTACCTCAGTTACAGAGAAACAAGTCAATAGTTCCATGTTTTAACATGAGTTTACTTGCCCAGCTGAGTCTCTCAGGCAGAGGTTATTACACAAGACCCTGAAGATGGTATGATAGCCTAAATATTAATTCCCTCTAGTTGGGACAGTGTTACTTGGCAGCATAATAAAGCACGGGCTGGAATCTAAAAGTGATTTAGCATCTCTGCAAAAGAAGACTTTGTAGACATGCCTTGTTTAATTGGTAACAGAATACATACATGTTGTTGCAGTTAGAGTTAACCAGAGTGTAATGTAGAGTTTCTTCTACTCTAAGCCTTCCACAGTTTCTCCACTGACTATAGAGATAAGAATACCAACTTTGTGAAACTATAACCCCCTTAAGACTTTGTTGGATAACATAGCTGTCAATTAAATTGCATAACTGGGAGCCAGAGAATAACGAAAGCATTGCTCATCAAACTACTAGACTTTTACACTTGACTTTGGATGGAAACTGAGGCCAGTTAGAAGTAGTGCTCAGGTTTACGGGGTGCATATGTGTTATTATATACATCTCTTTACTCATATATCAACTATATGTGGCAAATTTATTACAGATTTGGATTACTTTTGGTAGTAAATAATTACAAGTACTGTTAGAGGCAATAAGAATCTTATGCATTCTTAATAAGAATAAAGTGACCTGTAAAACAGTAATTTAAAGCACGTTAGTACAATGGCTATGTGATAAAACTATCTAGCAAAGGCATGAAACCCTCTCTTTCCCTCATGATTAATGTGTAGGAAGATAAAATGGACATAAATATTTTCATTGTTTTATTATCTTTCTCAGAAAAATGACAGAGGGGTTGGTTTAATTAAAAAGGAGACTTCCATAGACCAAATAAAAAAATCTGTTCTGCAGAGATGACAGCAGAAAATACCTGTTTAATTTGAATAACACCTGGTTTTGTAGAAATGTGCATCTAATACGTATCCTGCACTCACTTAGTCTAATTCATCTGCTGTTTTGCTGCATTATTGAAAAGAAGAGAAGAGGGAATATTAGCTCTCTCATTTGAGGATGTTAAACTCCTGCTGGGGTTGAGGCACTGTGTGAGCACCCTACTTCCAACCTAGACTGTTGGGAGTTACCTGGAGGCAGCAAGGAGAAAATGACATGTTCCATTAAAATGAGGCATCCCAGAATTGTTTGATGTTCTTTGCCTTAATTGAATCCATCTATCCCATCTGCCACTCTCTCTCTAAATTTATTGCCCTAACCTACTCTCTCTGAGAATTGTAATTTTGGGGGAAATTTGTTACATACGTTGTTACCTTTTATAAAAGCTCTCCGCATCTGGAGGGCAGGTGTGCCGTCTACTTTGCCTTGTTAGACAACTTTGCCTGCCTCTTGGTCTGCGTGTCACATGCTGATGGATTAAAAACAGGACTGGGATAAAAGACCCCCAGTAGCAACAGGAGTAGGAAAGAAAATAGAAATTCCAGGCTTTTCCTTATCTGGTTTCCAGATAGAGCTCTAGTCATGTGTCAGGTCTGGATATGGACTCTATTAATAAATGTAATATACCTACGAAAACATGAAATTTGCATTCTAACAGGGGCAGAAAATCCGAAATATGAGTGTGTTATCTCGAAGTAAAGCTGTCTTAAAACTCCTGGCTGGTTCATCTCTGACTTTGGTCACTCTGGGCTCCCTGGAACCAGGGAGCTATAGGTTGGGGAGACTCTGATGCTATAGGTTGGGGAGACTCCTGTTCCCCAGAACGTGGCAGGGCCAGCCCCATTCCTAACCACTGCGTTTTCTCAAAGATTAGACAGGAGAGACCGTAGCTTCTCTTTAGCATTGTTGTAGAAATTACTTTTGGCCCTTAACCTAAATACAAATAAATATGACATCATGTACACATATTAATTTGAGCAAAGCC